TTTTACAGACTGAATGCATTTCCAGTTACCTAGGTTAGCACAGCTATGCCCCTACCTCATATTCCCCTAACCCCCATTCCTCTCCAACCCATTCTTTTTATTGAGGTAGTAATACATACTTTTAATGAAGTTAGATTATTTCATCACAATTTTATTTTTTAAAAGATTTATTTGTTTATGCATACAAGAACTGGGGTACAGGTCAGAGGTGTGGGGGTGGGGTGAGAGGATTTACCAGAGGCAGAGTGGGGAGCAGAACAGGCAGATTGACTGAAATACCCTACTGAGGGGAGCAGCGGGCAGGACAGGAGAGGTCTGCTGGGCCATGTGTGTCACCTCCCTGGCTGGGTATCAAACCCATGTTTCAGTGACTGCTGACAGCTTCACAGTGCTGAGTCAACCCCTTGCACCAAGAGGGAGACCCACACAATTTGAATTCTTTCCCTGGATATCCTAACTTAGTAAATGAATGTTAAATTTGTATATATGAAGGTTTACTCCTTGTCTTTTAAAGTATTACAAATTTTGAAAAATGCATAGTGCCATGCATCCATGATTGTGTAAAGAATAAATATCATTCATTTGCCTTTACATTTTAAAAATCTTTATTTATTGCATAGAAGAACTGTGGTGTAGACCTAAGGTATGGGATGGGGGCCGGGTGAAAGGATTCACCAGAGACAGAGTGAGGAGCAGAACAAGCAGTTTTAATGCAATACACTGCAAAGAGGAGTCATGGGTGGGACAGATGTCTGTTTCAAATGTGGGTTAACTCCCTGTCTGGGATAGAAATCTGGCTATAGCAGTGGTACTGCTGGGACCTAACCCAAGGTCACCAAGGAGGCTCCATTCATTTCCCTTTATATCCTCTGTGCTAAATTTATCTCTTCAAATTTCCCTCCTTTTCTCTGAACTCCTAGTCACCACTGATCATGTTATTGTCACTGTAGTTTTGCCTTTCCACAATGTTGTCTAAATGGAGTCTGGGTATGTATCCTTTTCAGAATGGCTTCTTTTATTCACTAATGTACGTTTAACGTTTCCCCATGTCTCTTTATAGATGGATAGTTCGTTCTTTTTATTATAGAATATTTCATTATATAAATGTAACAGTGTTTTTTGTTTGTTTTCTTTGCTTTATCCATTTACATATTGAAGAACGTTTTGTCACTTTCAGTTTTTGCCAATTATTAATAAAGCAAAGCTGCTTTTAACACTTGCATGCAGGCTTGATGTAAACATGAATTTTAAAATTAGTTGAATAGATAACTAGGAATACAACTCTAGATTGCATATTCAGATTATAGTTACCTGTGTAGAAAACTACCAAAATCTTGTTTGAAATCCAACCAGAAAGAGTAAAAATTCCTCTTGATGAGAATTTTGCCAGCATCTGATATTGTCAATGTTTTAGATTTTTGTTATTGTAATAGGTGTATAATATTTCACTGTTTTAATCTGCAATTAGGAAAACATTATCTATACCAGTGGGCTATTGTGAAGATTACTTGAAAAAAGCATTTGCAAAATAACCTCTTTGTTAATGTAACACATAAGTACTAACATATTTTTAAGGCCTATGCTAAGTGCTTGGCATACAACTGTGAACAATACTAATCTCAGCTCCCAGGAAACTGCAGTGAAAAAAAAAGTCAAAGGCACAGTGTATTTTAATTATCATAATATCAGTAAGTAATGAGAGCTATAAATACACATAATCAATTTTTTGATAATTAGAGATTGTCATTTATTAGCATTTCTTTAAGTTCATTCACTCTTCCTGAACTATCAAAAAGTGCTAATTATAGCACCTCTTTTCTTACATATCTTGTTTCTGTTACAGAAAATCAGTGCAAACAATTCTGGATGATAATTTCTCCAGTTTTTATATTGTTCTCATTTCTTTCTTTTCTCCTTTTTTAAAATACATGCCTCAAAAATGTATATGCCTGGATTATATAATAGCAACTTTTTTGATAATGTGAATATTTTGGTTCCCATTTAGTTAAAACATACACAGTATTTTAAATATAAATTATATATAGTATACTACAGTAAACTACATATACTATATATATAGGATAGTATGGTAATGTGTAGTATACTACCATACATTTTAAGAACAATTACAACCATTCAATTGTCCTATCTCTGAGTCTTTTAGTATTTGACATACTTTGTGATATAAATATTGGAATATGAGGTATATAAATGTAAATTATATAATTAAATGTCAGTACTAAGTGAGAATTCTTTTTAAAACTAGCACATTATGTGTGCGGTTGTGTGTGTTTGTGTTCATTTAGTTTCTACTACTATAAGCTATGGTCCTTAATGGACATGGATCCTCCAAATAAAGCTGTGTGTATGTATTATTTATCACCAAGTTACATATCTCACGCCATTTGAATAATTTGCCAAATTTATAAACTTGTGTATATTTTTGAGTCACTGTGACTTTGAGGTCTCTGAATTCTATGTAGATATTGTTGCAATGTATTACCTCCCTTTAGCTAATCATTAAATGGAGCATAAATAAAGATCATTTAATCAATTGCTCTTGTCCAATTCAGTTAAAGAACATTTTCATTATGTATTCAAGTTATTTTATTTTATTTTTAAAATATTTATTTATGCATACAAGAACTGGGGTATAAGCCAGAAGAATGGCAGTGAGAGGATTCACCAGAGAGAGTGTGGGGAGCAGATCTACTGAAAGACACTGCTGAAGGGAGCAGCAGGAGCGACAGGAGAGGTCGACTGTGCCATGTCGGTTGCTTTTGGCCTGCCTGGGATCAAACTCCTGTTGCAGTGTCTGGCAATAGCTTGGTCGTACTGTCTTTAACCCCTGCACCATCAAGGAGGCCCATATTCAAGTCATTTTAATTTGTATTTTGTATATGTGTCACACATGTGTTAACCTTCATTTTTGTTTTTGTAAATGCAGGTATATTTATAAGCACACATTTCCCAATGTAAGTTTAAAAAAAAACACTACATCTTGTCATACTTTCCTCATTTTAAACCTTGTGACTCCACCAAAAGGAAGTGACATAACAATGAGCTTTTGAACAAAAAAAATACAGTCTATTGTATTATTTAATATGAAAAGCATATTTTACGTTTAAGTTTGCTTGCGTAAATTATAATGATGTTATACATTTATTTGCATGAATATAAGTTTAGTGTTGGCTTGAAAATATGTCTAGATAACATGTAAAACCTATCATTTAAAAATAGACCAAATTCCTTAGCACATGGTTAAAATTAAAAAAAAATTTGTTTTATTAAATACTATTGATTAGTAAATAATTGATTTTTAGGGGCCTCCTTGGTTATGCAAGGTGTTAAGCACAACACTATGAAGCTATCTGTAGCCTCTGCAACACGAGTTCAATCCTTGGCTGGTCAGGGAGAAAACCATGTGGCACAGCAGACCTCTCCTGACTCGCCTGCTTCCCTCAGCAGTGTTTTTCAGTCAGTCCACCTGTTCTATTCCCCACTCTGTCTCTGGTGAATCCTCTCACCTCCCGCACCTCTGGGCTGTACCCCAGTTCTTTTATGCATATATAAATAAATCTTTAAAAATGATTTTAAAATATATAAATTAATCTACAATGAATAGGATTAAGTTTCAAATTCAAAATGACTGACTTAAAAACCCCACATTCTGTTATTACAATCATCTTCTTTAAGCATAATTTTGCTTTTATTTATGAAATCTAAATATTTGACTGAATGAAAGTACATTATACCTTTGGTAAAATGATGAGATTTAATATTTTATTAAAGTGCTTAGAAAAAGCCACAAGAACAGGTATTTCATATGTTCTTTTAGTTATTTTTAAATTATATCTGTTTTACATAACTCCCCTACAAAACCAATAAGAAAGAATTCACAGGGGACTGTCATGATGGTGCATGGGTCCACTGGTGAAGGAAATTCTGTGGGGACTACACCTGAGGTGTGCGGGGGGAAGCAAGCATTGTTTAAAAATGAACAATGATGTAAAAATGTATAAATAAGAAGAAAATTAAAATTAGAAGAGATAATTCACTCAGTAAAGCAAGAGCATTTAGATTTGGTAATGGGTAATATAGCCAAATGAATCAGACATTTATGGAGATTTGGGGATCAGTTGACAACTCTCTACCACAGATGCAAAAGAAAAAGGGTGGTATCTCAACTCTTTCTGAACAGGGAAACTGTCAAGAACATGAGGAGATTAAAAATAAGTGTAGAATGTTGTCAATAAAAGCTTTCCTAATCTCTCAGCACACTTCCTGAGTGTGTATTATGTAAGATGATTGTCTCAATGCAGAGTAATGTTGAATTTTTATTGAAAATTAAAAAATGTGTCCACATGTGGTTCTATATGATTTTTCAAGTTTCATATTCCAGGGACTGAAGTATTATTTCTGTTGTGGAAGAAAACTGATAATTCCATAATCACTAATACTTAGGTGTAAAATCCATTTTGAACATGATCCATTCACGGTTTGAATTCTAGGCATATAAATGAATCATTTATATCACGGGACATAGCAGCCTACCAGCTCAGCTCTCATCTCTACAAGCAATAAAAACTTGATAGTGAAAAAGATAAAACTTTGATTGTCAAAGATAATTTCTACCATTGACATTGAGTTATATATAACCAGAATCTTGTCATTTCTTGACCAATAGGAATGCATAATGTGAAAACAAGAAGAGATTTAAAAGTTAAGATTCCAAAATGTCTTAAAATACTTTATTTTTTAAAAGTTTAGCATTTTAATAACAATATAGATCCATTTTATCTTGATCTATATAGTTATAATTAATAAATTATTAACATTTGGTTTTAAAATTATAAATATTTCATTTATTGAAATATTTGGAGGCTCTGTGCTATCACAAATATTTTCTTTTAAATAATAAGAACAAAACCCAGAAGAGGAAATGTTGTGCAAGTATAGTATTAGGAATTGCTAACCACTTTTAAAATCCTGTCTTTCAGGAAAGAACGGTGACCATTAGAAGACAAACTGTAGGAGGATTTGGATTAAGCATAAAGGTAGCTAATCTTTACAGTCTGTCCTTACAAAGGCTGTGCTATAATGCTTGTTATTTTTGTGTATTTTAATTTTTGTTCATTATCAATTATATACGAATATAGCTAATTCCTCAGTATTTGGACTCAGAGGTATATTAAGTAGGTTCTCACAGAACTTATTCAACTTTTGATTTAGAAATGTTAGAAAAATACTTGGGAATTGTATCTTACTTAACATGGACTATAACTCATTAATTTTATCTTTCTTTATCTAGTTTCATGTTAAATATCAAACTTAGCCCTGCAATTTACATTTCTTTTCTAACCATCCAGCGCAAAATTATTGATCTGTCAGTTAAGGAATTAAGAACATGTTTTATATTGATAAGAAACAATACAGTTTATTAGCTGTAGTCCATTCATCTTTGTCTTTTGTTTCATTGTTTATTTAAGAAAAAGTAAAATATAACATTGTAACACATATAGACAAAGATTTAAGATCTGATTTGTTATCCTAGCATAAATTAATTATAAAAAATAGTTGCTAATTTTCATTTATTTTTCAATTTTAAAGGGCTTTTCCTTTTGTATACTGTTGACTATTAAGGATATTCCATACCTGCAATTTATCATCATTAAAATAAAGCAAATTTTAACAGGATGGGAAATTATATAAATATTAAAATAGTTAACTGAATGACAGTAAATGTTTCTTAGAAACCTGTAAGTTTGTATCTCTAAATGAAATTTAACTTTATCTTGACCGTTTGCTTAGACATTTTGTTTATATTGGATGAAAATCATACATCCTAGATTTAAATTTCATGAAATTTCAACACAGCTCAAGTTACATATTCTTGGAAAATAGAATTTCCATTTGTTGAATGTTATCTCTGGATGACCTCATGAAAATGGTACAGAGAAAGAATCAATGTGATTGTTATGTCAAGTGACAAGGATATTACTATATAAAATGCATAAAGTGTTTTAAGAGATATTTTGTACTTTCATTTAATCTATCATCGATTAGAACCAGGAAAACACACAGAGCAAATTACAAGATTTGGAAAAGATACTGTAGGAATTTTTTCATCAATAGACCATTGTTTTGGTTTTGGCTTATTACATTTTCTGTGAGGTATTTAAACAGATCACTAAAAGTAGAAGAAAGTTCATGAAGAGAGAGCAAAAGCTGAATGTGAACTAAATCCAATGAGAGTTGGTTTCATCTGAGATAAGCATTTTCACCTACACTCAGCTATGTGTGAGAGTAACACTTTCTTTTTTTTTAAAGATTTATTTATTTATGCATAGGAGAACTGGGGTATTAGCCAAAGGGGAGGGGTGAGAGGATTCACCAGAGACAGTAGAGAGCAAAATAGGCAGATCTACTGAAAAACACCTGAGAGGAGCAATGGGCTAGGCAGCACAGGTCTGCGGCACCAAGTGGGTTGCTCCCTGGCCTGCCCGGGCTCAGAGATCCAAGTAGTGCTGCAGCTGCTGCAATAGTTTGATATTATGCCACCAGGGAGATAATATGCCACCAGAGAGACACAAAAGAGTAAAACTTTCTTAATTTTGTATGATTAGAAATGTCTATTTCCTTTTTAAAAATTCCACTATAATTTAAGCTCAATATCTATGTCATTTATTATTCTGCAATATGACATTTTAACCTAGGCTGTTTTTAAAATAGTGACTTTGCCAATGAACCTTTCAGTTTAATAATTTTGTCATTTAAGTCCAAGCAAATCTCTTACATATATAATAGTGTAAATTGCTTTTTAAAGGAAGTGTGCATTTTCCATTCAAAATATTGGCCACAAAAGTAATATTAAAATAAAATTGGTGTCATATTTACAGGTTTCACAAAAAAGGAACAATTTCATAATTCTTATTAATTGAACAATCTAATTAGAACATGAACACCAATTTTTATTTAGAATATTGCCCATTTACACTGAGGAATTTCCTTTTTCTAAATATTCTTTTTTATATAATTCTTACATCATTTTTCATTTTTGCACAATGTATGCATTTTCATTTTGGTTATATTCCCCATACAATTGCACTCCCTTATTTTGAACCTATTTCTTCCTCTCCCCAACCCCTAACCCCCAGTAGTGTGAATCTGGTTTATAGTTGCTTGTTAATTTTGATTTTTACTTTATTATAATGTCTTTTTCCTGGACCCTTATTTAGGTTTTTAAATTCCTGCTTTGAGTGAGACCATCTGCTATTTTCTTTTTCTTTATGACTTATTTCGCTGAGGATGATCCCTTCTAGCTCCATCCATGTTGCTGCAAATTGCATGAGTTTATCTTTTTTGATTTCTGAGCAATATTCCATGGTGTATATATACCACATCTTCTTGATCCAGTCATCTATTTTTGGGCACTTGGGTTGTTTCCATAGCTTAGCTGTTGTAAATAGTGCTGCTATAAACATAGGGGTGCAGGTGCCTTTTGGATTAATGTTTCTGCGTCCTTTGGGTAAACACCTAGGAGTGGCATTGCTGGATCATATGGAAGCTTTATCTTTAGTAGGTTGAGGAATCTCCACACAGCTCTCCATAGTGGTTGGCCCAGTTTGCACTCCCACCAACAGTGCAGGAGAGTTCCTTTTTCTCCACACCCTCGCCAACATTTGTTGTTGCTAGTTTTTTTTAATATGTGCCATTCTCACTGGTGTAAAATGGTATCTTATTGTAGTTTTGATTTGCATTTCCCTGATTACAAGTGATGTTGAACATTTTTTCATATGCCTGCTGGCCATTTACATTTCCTCTTTGGAGAAGTTTCTTTCTAGCACTTCTGCCCATTTTTTGACTGGATTATTTTCTTTGTTTGTTGAGTCTCATCAGCTCTTTGTGGATTTTTGTGATCAGTTCTTTATCATTAGTGTTGTGTGCAAAAATGTTCTCCCTGTAGGTGGGGTTTCTCTTTGTTTTGGTTATTGTCTCTTTTGCTGTGCAGAAGCTCTTTAATTTGATGTAGTCCCAGCTGTTGATTTTTGCCTTCACTATCACTGCTTTGGGTGATGAATCTGTAAAGATGTCTTTGAGGTGCATGTCATGTATTCTTTTGCCTATATTTCCTTCTATGTATTTTATGGTTTCAGGTCTTATGTCTAGTTCATTAATCCATTTTGAGTTGTTTTTTGTGCATGGTGTGAGGTAGTAGTTAAGTTTCATTCTTTTGCATGTAGCGGCCCTGTTCTCCCAGCACCCTTTATTGAACAAACTTTCTTTGTTCCATTGCATATTCTTTGCTCCTTTGTCAAATATTAGTTGACCATAAATCTGTGGGTTTATTTCTGGATTTTCTATTTGCATCCATTTGTCCATGTGTCTGTTCTTGTTCCAATACCATGCAGTTTTTATTATTATTGTTTTCTAGTATAGTTTGAAATCTGGGTGTGTGATACCTTCATTCCCATCATTCCCATCTTTTTTTTTTTTTTTTAGGAAAGCTTTGTCATTATGGTTTTTGGTGGCTCCATGTGAATTTCATCAATATTTTTTCTATTTCTTTGAAGCAAGTTATTTGAATTTTTATTGGAATAGCATTGAATCTATATATTGCTTTTGGTAGGATAGACATTTTGATAATTTTAATTCTTCCAGTCCATGAGCAGGGGATTTTTTTCATTTATTTATGTCTTCTTCTATTTCTTTTTACAGTGTTTCATAGTTTTCTTTGTATAGGTCCTTTACCTCTGTTGTTAGGTTTATTCCCAAGTATTTTACAGTTTATTCCCAAGTATTTTACAGTGTTTCATCGTTTTCTTTGTATAGGTCCTTTACCTCTGTTGTTAGGTTTATTCCCAAGTATTTGATTTTTTTTTTTTGTTTCAATAATAAAAGGGATGGTTTTCTTGATTTCTTCTTTTTCAGATTTATTGTTTGTGTATAGGAAGTCTACTGATTTTTGCGTGTTGATTTTGTATCCTGCCACTTTACTAAACTGATTGATTAGTTTGATTAGTTTTTTTGTGGAGTTTTTGGGGTTCTCTATATATATTATCAAATCATCTGCAAATAGTGATAGTTTGACTTCTCCCTTGCCTATTTGGATCATTTTATATCATTCTCTTGCCTTATTGCTCTGGCTAGGACTTCTAGTATTATACTGAATAGCAGTGGTGAGTGTGGACATCCTTGTCTTGTTGCAGATCTTAATGGAAATGTTTCAGCTTTTCACCATTGAGAATGATATTGGCTGTGGGCTTGTCATAGATGGCTTTTATGATGTTGAGTTATGTTCCTTGTATCCCAAGAATTTCAAGGGCCTTTATCATAAAAGGGTGCTTTACTTTGTCAAAAGCTTTCTCAGCATCTATTGATATTATCCTATGTTTTTTGTATTTCTTTTTGTTGATGTGTTGTATTACCTTGTTTGATTTTTGGATGTTGAACCATTATTGTGTCCCTGGAATAAATCCTACTTGGTCATGGTGAATTATCTTATGAAGACATTGTTGGATTCTGATAGCTAAAATTTTATTTAGGATTTTTGCATCAGTGTTCATTAGAGATTTTGGCCTGTAGATTTCTTTTTTTGTGTTGTCCTCATTTGGTTTTGCTATTAGTGTAGTGTTGGCTTCATAGAACTTGTTTGGTATTATCCCTTCCTTCTCCAATTTTTGAAAGAGTTTGTGAAAGATAGGCACTAATTCATTTTTGAATGTTTGGTAGAATTCATTGATAAATCCATCTGGTCCTGTGGTCCTGGGCTTTTTTTTTTTTTTCTTCCAGAAGGGTTTTGATTACCATTTCAATTTCACTGCCTTTTATTGGTCTGTTTAGGTGTTCTATGTCTTCTTTATCTAGCTTTGTGTGATTAATATAGAGTTCTAGGAATTTGTCCATCTCTGCTAGATTGTTGAACTTGTTTGCATATAACTGTTCATAGTAGTTTCTGATTATTCTCTTGATTTCTGCTGTGTCTGTTGTGATTGCTCTTCTTTCATTTGTGATCCTATTTATTTGTGTTTTCTCCCATTTTTCCTTGGTGAGCCTG